CTCCTGATATCTGTTGCAGAATCCGAACAGTTTGCGATGAGTTGAATATAGCGCTGTGAGTAGAATTCTGATATTACAGTAAAACGCGAGATAAGCATAAAGAAGCTCCGTGACCATCACTAACTGACCTAAGAAGGACGGTATACCACATCATGAAAAGTTTCAAATGCAAACGAAATCTGTCATACGAGGTGTGACGGGGTCTCAGGAGAAGTGACTGACTTGTCTTTCCAACCGTAGAACACGTTTTATGGAAGTGGTAAGTCGCTAGTTCAGAGAGGTATTTCAAGTTTTTTGGGACGGCAATTAGATGGTACAACCGGAAGGTGTATCAAAAAACGGAAAAACCATTACTCCATATAGAAAGCAAACTTCTGCTAGTCGTATTCACAGCTGAGTGATAAGAAGACAGTAGTATCCCTTCAATTCAAGGGCGAACACGTCTCGGTTCGCATCAAACTGAAGCATCAGCCGCAGCAAAACTATACTTATGGAGCTGTTTATTTATGCCTGGTCTCCATAACCCGTGATAATATATAATGAACCGGTTCCCAAAGCGTGACGGATCACTCAACGTCTGTGATATTCACTCACAGCTGCCGTGTATGCCCAAAATTCTGTGTATGCTGCAGAGCCCCGCACCTTGAAAGATTGGTTGAATTCTAGCAAGTGTAATCGTTGACCTTCAGTAGCCTAAAATACTAATAAGTTTCCTTTGTGGAGTACTTGCCTGGTATTTATAAGAAGACATTTAGTTGTTCCAAAGAACTTATCTTACTCGGACATTTCTCAATAATTCGAAGGTATATTAAACCTTTCACAAAAAGGAACCACATCTTCTCCACAAATGCCTCGGAGATTCAGACAGATGCAGCATAATCAGACCACTACTTAAAAGCCATACTTTATACTCGCCTAAGAAATCAGAACAGCAACCTTAACTCATTTGCGATCTCGCCAGTGAGGTCGGTCACAATCGACCATAATCGGCACGAGCCACGTCCGGATTCTTCTAGCGTTCAACACGGAGCGCTCTATGGACTTGCACCGAGTTTTTTTATCTGTTTACCCATACAAGTCTTACCAACTTGAGTCTTCTCCACTTTTAACACTTTTAAGCCATTTCGTCCAAGGATATTAAGGTATATTGGTTACCCATGCGCTTGAAAGGTAATAAATGCAGTCTTCACTTTCTTCTAACTCAGTTGATAGTGGAAGAGTGATTGAATACAAGCATATGTACTCACATATTTTACAAATAATCTGTTCTTTCATGCACGGTACACAGCAGTGTTTAATAGGTATGAAAAGGTTTGGAACCAGGTCCTGATTGTCGTTTTGGGAAGACCGATGACATCAATGACTACCCTCAACAAAGGGTGAATCATATATGATGCACCCTAACTGGATTGCTATGTTCAAATGGCAGCTTCTAGCGTATAGCTGTGCTGACTGCTCATTATGAAATTCATTGGCTCATTGTTCTTCTAACGACTAACTGATTGCTTTACGTTGAGCTTCAAATATTTCCACCAGTTTGTCCAAACTGGTCCAAACTTCACTCAAGACTCTGTTATCCTATTATGTCCCATATATATGCCTCATACAGGGAAAACCTCGGCACTTTTGTTTCCATCCAAAACATCAAAGTAATGAAATACACCCAATTTTAAATGCTTAGGATAAAGCCTATTCTGATATAGTGTTGATGCGGTCTCATTCCGCTTAGAAATGCAGTCAGTCTCTTACAGCTACTGTGGATGCTGAGTGGGTGATTGTGGATGTGGAAAATTTGATTGGGATAGTCATTTTTACCAGTTTTATTATGATCTGCTGGAACTATCCGCCAACAACTCCTTTGGTACTTCTCCAAAAAAGACTTCCTGCCTCATGATTTCGTAAGCAAGACCACAGTAACGCAGTGGTGTCTTTCACGCATATGGGCAACAACCGATAATTCCACCCACTTGTGTACAACGTTCATTAATGTGGTTGAGGGTAAAATTAACTTTGTTGCCTTACTGTCATAAAGCCGCGATCCGCTGTGGGTGGTTGAGTTCATCTCTAAGCGAAGAAGCGTGTTAATGCGAAACAGAACTAACCATACCGGATGATCATTTTAGCGGCTTTGCTGATTTCAGTCAAAAACAGAGCACCTTGTGCTGTTCACACTGCCTTCTGCTACAACACACCTTTCAGGACAAAATGCGCCTTAACGGAAACACGTACATATCCTGGTGATTGATAGACTAGAAGACGGTACCACTCAAGAACACTTGTATGGTAGAGATGGATGAGCCATCTATACTACGTCCCGTTTTCCAGTGAACGGAACAACACCTAGCACCACTTGTGGTGTGAACCACTTCTAAAACTGATGGCCGTCAAGAAACACGAGTATGTCTTTACACGTTCGTGCTTCTGATGCCGTCGCATCAGTAGCCGGATACTCGTTGAGTACACTTCACCACACTTCCAGGATTTTTACGACAAGCAAGCTATGAGAAGGACACGGGTGCCAGTTTTACAGCTTAGCACGAAAGTTTGAAACTTTAAGTCCAAAAAGAGTCCAACAGTGATGAGATGCTTTTGGCTTTTTAGTCATTTCTTTCTAGAGTAATAAGAAGCTCGGGGCTATAAGCCTATCTTGGAGTTAGGAACCGTACTGTGATGACTAACTTGTGATGAATAACGCTTTCCGCTTTTCGCTCAAAACATCGAAACGCTGAAATAGTGTGCGACAGTTATTAGTAACGCTGTTAATATTCTTCTGACCCACCAATCCTCCCCTCAAACGAACTCAAGATAAGCAGGTCAAACCGGTTGTATCAGAAGTATTGGTTAATTGAAGGACGAGTGGTTTGCCATTTTTCACTGACGACCATGATCGAGCGTGCGCCCTCCCAAGGGGGAGAAGTTGAGAAGAGGTTCATAATGTGGGGAGTGTGATTTCGCACAATAATATTCTGTGTCATATTTTCGTTTACGATAATAGCCTACACAATGCTAGTAAAATCAGTTCCATCTGGTAAACAAAGTGGGTATTCTACAGGAATTTCTTGGACAAATGCAACCCCAATTCGACCAAACCTTAAACTCGAAATAAAACTATCATTATTTTCCGGGGTGTGTTCGCGCAATATTCTCTTCATTGTTAACTTCTATCATGAAGGGCTGTTACACTGCACTCAGTCAGTGAAGTGGAATAATCGACATCTTACCCTAAAATTTCGAGCCGCAGGGTTACTTGAAGCATATACTCACAGTTTATGCACACGTGACAACTCATTCGATAAAAATTGGGCGACTACCAAAGTGAGATCGGAAAATCTACGGATCAGTTACTGAGAAGGCAGTGTAAATCTTTTTGGGATCCGCACCACTAGCTGGACGTTAGTACTCGCGAGTTCCAAGAAATTCATCTTAGCTTACTTCCAGATAAGACTAACTTTAGCTTAATTTCATCAATAAGGCCCCACTTTGAGATTAATAGTTTCCTAAAGATGAGACAGTGTACAAGAACAGAACGCCAAAGACCTGCTGCTTGAGGAAGGAAATCGAACCATCCGCTTCGGCAGGCTGGATTTCGATTTTAGATGCAGCTGCACTGTGATGTGTGGTGTCGACTCTAAACGGGGAGCCAGGCTTCCTTGTCTTTCCCCTACAATACGATTGGCAGTACATGCCCTTGCATCACTGTTCTGGGGTTGGTGGCATATAAAGCGCTTCTTTTTTCCTGAACTAGTCCATCCACCAAATAATAATTCTGCAAGAGTCGAGAAAAGTGATTATTCCTAAAAAGACGTTACTAACAGGATGATTTTTGTTATATGGTTGACTTAAATGCCCTATGTCAATGCATTCAAGGCATGCTACGTTTGTCTTTCGACAATCGTCAGTGTATGACTAAATGCATGTGCGAGGATTCTGTTACTGAATATGAGGATGTTGCTGTTTTCCAAAAGTAGGTAAGGTGTCTGAGGAAATTCAGTAGCCCATTAGTTCATTCCTTCAGAATGGACTGATATCATTAACTGGTGTACTAGGTGACGTTGAGTAACTTAGCGCAAGCTGATTAATCCTTTCCTTCCATAGTTGAAGATTGATAGCTGAAAAAACAGAGCGATCATATAGACTTTCTAAATAGAGGGATAAAGGACCTATATTTCTTGTCAATGAGAATTTCACAAAGAAAGGTAACTTATGCCTTCAAGCACATTCTACGTGAGGCATGTACGCAGATTTTCACCAAAGACTGCACCCCAGAAATCCTACAGTAATTCATTCACCGAACTGGTATATCTCTAAGTCACTGCTGGATATTTACTGCTGACGCTAAAATTGTCTGTCTTGTAAACTGATCGATCCGCACTAACCAAAACGTTCTGTGGTACTGCGAAAAGGTTTGGCTGTTGGTTGCTTCCACACGTCAAGTTGCAAGTAAAAGAGATAATTACACCTGCAGAAACGTATACTAACAACATAGGAACATCCGTGGTTATCGGCAAGGCACAGCAAGTTGGTGGTAGCACGTTTCTTTTCCCTTGATATTTTATTAATTTTGATTTTCAGTCGTCCATCCAGATGCCGAACTAGAGTTCTCATCATTCAAACGAAGGTGGTAGCTTTTCGCCAAGGGCGGAGCTCAAAGTGAATACGGTAGGCACAAGTCTCAGTCTAAACAGTGACAATGCTATGGCTCTTTACAGTACTACCTTGGTGGAAAATTTGGTCGCTGACAGGTGATAGGTTTCTCATTCTCTTTGATAACACGAGACGCCGGTAGACCTCGTTTTCAGCAGTCAGCGTTCATATGCTTCAATGAACCAACTAAAACTATGAGTGACCTCACTAATCTTGATCTTTCCGAAGGAATATCAATCTGCTTCGGCAACACTGGATTGGAAAATTGCTGTAAAACGTCTAATCATGGTTTGAATTATTCCCACTGACACGTTGCGATAGGGGGGCAAATCGAAAAATACGAAAAAATGGCTCACCTTGAGAAAGTTGGGTTGCGTAGGTGGAGGGGTAAGCAAGCTCGGTAGGTAGTCGCACTATGACCCAGCGGGTCATGGAAAATTTCGTCAGTGTTCAAACTCGAGGTGCCAAATTTTGAAGTGAATGAAGTCGAGTGGAGTGGAACGTTTGGCGAACACAGCACTGAGAGTTCGGTGAAGCACTGGTGAAATGTACAAGTTAATACTACTCGTATTATACGACCTTTCTCAGTCGAATGGTGTAAGTATCTGATGGTCTCGCCGTAGGCTCGAGTGTGTTAACCTATTTATTGCGTGATCATGAATGTACGTTCTTTGCTCCAGGCACGGTGACGCCTCGCTTTGACTGCGCGTTCTCGCGCGGCCTCATTCTCGCTCCTACGTGCGCTTGTGCGCGCTCGCTTGTGCGTGTTTGCGCCTGTGCGTACGTGATTGCGCCCTCTCGCGTGCGTGTGCCTTAGCTTGCGCACGCCTGTTCGTTTGTACAGACGTGCGAAAGCCAAAGTGTGAAGACCGGTGTCAGTACGTTAAATTAGCTGGTGTGTGCGTCTATCACCACGTTAGTGTCGCCGTCGTGAGACTAAGGGGACCTAGGGCTTGGCCTATTTGCGTAAAGATGGTGGTGGCAGCAATTTGTTGCTTACGGCGTGAATCGGTTTCCTCGCATTTGCCAACGCTCCCCTGTCGAACACACCCTAAGCATATATAGGCATACCTACAACCACACTCGCACGCAACCAGGCAGACACTGACTACCCTCACCAGTCTCATGTCACCCGCGCTGAATTTACCGTTCTTTTCATGCCTCGTCCTCTGTTACCTTACATTCTGTTGTTTGTGGCGCGCAGACTTGACCGCCTGCACCCGCCCTGCAAATCAAAGAAGCGAAACGCAACCAGGAGTGTGGGAAACTTGTGCAATTGGCGCGGTCTGCCCGAGTGATTTCTTGTTTTCACGACCACAACCAATATGACTGATTCACAAGGTGCTCACTACCCTGTCCGTGTTTGTGAAATGTGTGCGTATGCCTGAACGTTCACGTCGTAATTGTAAGAGGAGACAACGGTTTTGATTCCCCTGGCAGCAGAGTTTTTTTAATACGGGGATGTAGTCTTCATTTCTGTATGCTTAATCTGACCACTAGGATTTCCCACATTCCTATGGTGTTTCACATTAGAACCTGAAGAAACAATCAAAAAACAAAGTTATTATGGTTACCAAAGTAATGTGGTACCGAAGTTATCCCAGACGGTTGTCTGGTGCCGTGCTTCACTCTCTCTGACGATCAATTTTAGTAAATGTGTAAGAACAAGCTGACAAATTTAAAATAATTTATCCCACTGACTCATTTTGAGCATACGGTTGGTATCGAAATCCATTCACACACCGCGATACTTGGAAGCTACGAGCTGTCAGAAAGGCGTCTGTATGTCTCGGTGCTAAAAATAATCTACACACCCATTGGTCAGCGAAATTGGTAATGACAGACAGACCAGGAACAACATTGGACAATAGCGACTTGTGATACTGACCAATCAAGCATGAATCGGTGCAGACGCCTACTGTGCGGTGCCACTGTGTCTGCCTGGGCGTGCTAGACATAGCGGCGCCATGGGTGTGCTACGTTGATTCGTCTGGTCCATTCATAGGCAGCGTGCTTAATTCACGCTCGAATACGCACGTGTCCTTGTACTGTATCTGGTGCGGCCGATGGTAGAAGCACTCCGAAATGAGTACACATCTGTTGCTCAGCCCGATTAGACTTATTAATTTTGAGACCTCATAGAAGATGAGAGAACACGTTGGACAGCGGGTGTTGGAAGTGTCTTATTTGGTGATTCCTAAACCTGCTGTGAAGTACAAACATTAGCAGGCCTACCACTCACAAACGTGGAATAAGCGTTTGAAGTTCGGCTAGTTCGTTATGCTAATGCCTTAAAATTTAGTTGTTTTTTTCCCAAGCTTCTTACTTAAAATTATTTTTCAACATACCACATCACTGTGAAACTTGCATGTTGAACTTATTACAAACTTATTACAGCTGTCTGTCTACCGTGATAGCAGTCATTAAATGGCACTGGTGGTGCGGGCTGTTTACTTGTTCAATACAGGAATGTGCCCGACACGTACACAGTCAGTGACCTCTGTGCTCAGAATGTGAAAGAGGCGGAACCCAACTAGTAACTTTTTATACAATATTTAATCTTGACGACAATGAAGCGAGCAAGATAATGTTATTTGCAATATATCGCACAGGATGTAGAAAAGCACCGTAACTAACACGAGACTAATGGAACAGTACAGAGAATGGCACTTTGGTATGATAAAAGGAAATGCAGTTTACAACGGTGCTACACACTACACGCTTTGTAGAGTTTGACCAATTCAAGTTTCAAATGAAATAATGCACAGAAGAATTCGGTTCTAGTTTTCTGTCCTCGGAAATGGGTTTATTTCGATATTAGAAGTCGCGATTTGGTCATTATCTCAGGGCTAGTTCGTCAATTCAGTGCACATGAACCAACAAGTAACAGATCCCTACTCGTCTAACACGAGGGAGGAAGATATGGTACTCACAAAATGAAAACGTATCCTACTCTCCCCTCAATTACGTAGCGGCTATTTGGTAGCTGAATCTATGAATGCTTTGGTTGGGTGATGCACAGACGCAACTTCAGAATATACGATATTTAGTAGTGCTAACATGGACGGAAGGGTTGTTGTTCGTCGGTGGTGATTTGTTGTTATGGAGAATGAAACATATAGATTACATGTCGGACTCTGACGCTGTTTGTCAACACAGGATACAGCTTGTGGCTTCTTTCTCATACGGTCACTCGCTTTTCTAGGTGTATTGTTACATCACACATTTTACTTTTGAGCCTCATTGGTCTATTTCTAGATGAATGCAACTCAGTTCCATCCGGTCATTATTACTGAACGCATATTTTTATGTGAAACCCAACGCTTTTAATTAGCTTGCTGTCTATTGTTACTTCATGAGAGTGTTGTAAAACTAGCTTCAAGGCTTCATTAGGTCTGACAGATATATGTCATCTTGCATACCACACCAGACACCATAAGATAGCTCATTGTAGCCCATCAAATACCGTGTCAGGTAACAACACACCAGTGTTTCGGGCAATTCAACATCTTTATTCATTGTGATAAGCAAGTTAGGTATTCTGGATCAGAAATCAAACGTAATACAAACACACGTGTCTGTCTTTATTACGCGAGGCATCTAATAACCTTAAAGGAAAATGCACGGGCATATCAGTTGCCAATATCAGATTAACAGACATCTCATGAACTAACAAAACCTCAAGTGTTAGTTATCTGTTTAACGGCAGCTCTTTAATCTTTGTTTCCTTTATTTGTTAGAGTTAGATTCCGAAAATATTTGTGGAAAATACCATTCCTTGTAGAAATACAATCAACAAGGTTTGCATCCATTAAACTAATGAGGATGGAAATGCACAACAGTTGAATTTGAAATGAAACAAATATGCATTATAACAAACTTTTCTGCTCTTCCTGGAACGGCTAAAATAGTTCTGCCCAGTAGACCATGTCCTAGTCTCCGAAAATACTGCAATGTTGCTCTGATGTCTGTTTGGGTTGGCTGGATAGATAAATCGCTGACCATTAGTTTGGTGAGTCCATTTAATTGTTTGTGCAATTTCTGATGATTTCTGGTACAAAAATGAATGATGCCTTCGTTGATAATACAGATGTTTGGAACATGGAGTCAAATCAATCCATCTGAAAAAGGTCTCTGAGGCGTTCGACTGGCTTATCACGAAACAAGCGCTAGTGAGCAGTGAGATTACAATTCATCGGTTAGCGGATCTTCAATAAAGCAAATGCCGCACATAGACACAGCTCTCGTGAGGCCTCGTGAGCATATCGTATTTATCCATTGAACTTACGCACACCTCTCAGACTCTAACAAAGGCACTATTTCACTCCCACTATTTTCAGTCAAGTATAAGAGGAGAATATTTTATGCATTGTCAGTTAGTTCTGCGTTTTCCATCCTCACTCATTCAAACTAGTTGAACTTAGGGGACCTGAGACGGTCGTTGTTCTATATGATCGAGAAGCAAACGTAGAAGTTTCCTCCCTTATTAGTAGTTGTTCAATAACATAACAGATGCTCTGCAGCAAAGCATGTTAATCGTGGTTAGACATCAAGGTATCAGGGTATCATCAAGGCATATAATGGTCATCCAGTCCCCTGGATGTTTGTCATCAACCCCCCCCCCCATTCTGTTGTACAAATCGGCTGGAGAACAATAACCTTAGCTTGCTAGAAGCAAGCTTTGTCAATAGTTCAGCAAAAGTGGTCGAAAGCAGACATAATTTCGACAGGAAGATATGCCAAGTTTAAGGCGCAAACCAACGACCTCCGAGTGCCATACCACCTGAGCTACCAAATAGGTTGATCTACGATTGTCTCTCTCTGTTCCCTTCTCAAGAAATGAATAACATCTGATGAAAAGGGGCATAAGCTATAGACATTTTTTCGAGTTCTTAAATTTACAGCCCACTTTAAACTGAGAACAGTTTGGCCTCCGGCACAAACACGTCCATAATCAAAGTCTATATAGCTACAGTCCCACAGAAAGGTAACATGTAGTTTCAACTTTACGGCTTCCTCATAGCCAGTGAAACTCAACTCAATTATTTAAGACAGTTCAGATGGGAGAATACCTCCATTTGTCATAAATAGGTGAGTAAGTAAACTTTCAACAACGAAAAAGGAAAGACCCATATATACACTAGCTGCATCGGCAACATCATCAGTACTACCTGTGAATCACCACGGATGAAGGGCGCGCGAGATTTTGATAAGAATGGAGCATTTGAATGATTAAGCATCCGGTTTACAAACCATGTACGCTTTTAGTCATCATTCATAAAGTTAAGAATGGTTATTAATTTATATATGGACGCAATACACTACTCATAAATTTGCTGAAAATTCTTCGACAGCCCACGACCGGTTTCACCCTTTTTGGGGCTCATCAGGTAGGCGCAGTTCCCGAGTTTTCGTCAACTTTACGTTCTACT